GGGGGGCTTTTCCTGCCAGTGCCCGTGGCAGCAGATCTGTTGGCTCTACATCAAGAACTTAAAATTGAGGTTTGGTGGCTGAGGCCAAGTACTGCTCATGTCACACAAAGGCCCTGAGCAGCCCAGTGGGGAACAGACACAACCGCAAGAGAAATGCTGATGTCAGGGGCACCTCCCAGCCCCATGCAGGGGCAAAGCCATACATGGCCCAGGCCCCCTGGAACAGCCCTGCTGCAGCGATGCAGCCGCTCTCCCAGGGTGAGTCTGTCTCCAGCTGCTTGAGCAAAGTCTCCCCCCCACCCCCGAGGTCTGAGTCACTTGATGCAGTGTGTCCTGAGGGTGGTGATGCTGTCCAGCCTCTCCAGGGGCTGCAGCATGGTGGCCCAGGCAGCTGGCAGCAGCAGCGCTCTCGCTGTCCTAACCCAGGCAGTGGGAGAGGGGAGTGAGGGTCTCCTGACCCCCCCCAGGCAGGGGAAGCCTTTTCTGGCTGCTGGCACAGACTCGTCCGTCGCATGTTCACGCGGGACTCTGCTTGCTGTCCCGCCTGAGCTGAGCCTGCAAATGGACCCTGGCGTCTGTCCCACCTTTTCCGCTGGTTTCTGCGGTGTGCTGGGTGAGCAAAAGCTTGGGGAGCTGCCCAGCTCCTGAAGAAGGTGGTCTCTGCTGATGGGCAGGGCTTTGCTGTCTCTGGCTGGCTGGAGGTCCCTTAGTGCCCTCTGTCCCTCCATTAGGATGGGCCGAGTCCAAGCTTTAACATCTTCTGACACTAGACAGCCACGAGCATCCCTTCCTTGTGGCAGTTAAGCCTGTGTGTGGAGTGCCCTGTGTGCCCCTGGGGATGTGGTGAGGTTTTGCCTGCAGCTGGGCTGTGATCCCTGGCTTGTGCACAGCCTCAGGGCAGGGAGGGTGCTGGTTCGTGATGGAGGCAGACTCCTGCTAGGTGTTCCCTTCCTCCAGCAGCTGGGCATGGCCGTCCCTGTCCTCCTGCTTCCCTCCCCTTTGCTGAGGGGCAGCCTGTTTGCTTTCCGCTGACCTAGCAGAGCACTTCCCAGGACAGACAGCCTGCCTGCTGCCAGCTGCAGGAGGGAGGGATGCAGTTCCCAGCCTGGGGCTACTTGGGCAACAGGTACCCCTGCTTCTGGGAGGCTAGCTGGCTCCGAGTTTTCTCAGCTACTTGATGCTAAGGCTTTCCTGCCCTCTTCTGAAGCAAGAGGGGGTGGGGAGCCCAAACAAGCAAGCAGGAGCAGCTTGGCCTGCCCTTCTTGCTGGCCTGGAGCTGTTCCTGCTTTCCCACAAAGCCATGAAGCAACAGCTCTGCCCCTGCTGCCATCTGCGCAGCTGCCCCCTCATATCCATCTCCCGCTTCTTGTTTCCACAGCGCGAACTTTCAAAGGCTTCCAGGTCTGACAGTAGCTCCCGTGTCCTGAACTCCACCACCACCACTGCCTTCTGCTGAGGTGCTGCCTGCCAGGCTCCAGCTGCTCGTAGTTGTAGTGAGTTGCTGCTCCAGCAGGGCGTTACGCAGCTCCCCCTGCACCCAAAGCATCCGTGCTGTAGGGTTAACTTTTACCTGGGTCCCAGGCGTTACTCCAACAAGCCTGGCTCTCTGTGGGGTGGGGGGGGGGTCCTGCCTGCCAGGGTAGGGCATGAAAGGGGCACTTTTAGAAACTTGCTTTTATTTGGGGAATTCTTGTAAATGTTTGCGATTAAAGATTTGAGTACACGGTCGTGTTAGGGTAGTGCAGCAGTGGGTGCTAGCTCCTGCCGCAGCCTGGCTGGCTGGGGTGAGTGTTGGTGCTCAGTCACAGGGGCTCTGCCTTGCTGAGCATGCTCTGGGACAGACAGAATCTATTTGAGAGCGCCAGCTTTGGTGCCTTTTGTCACAGGCTTTTTTCCCCTCCGTTGCTGTAGCTATTGTCCGTCAGTATCTTCCTTTCTCAACACCACAGCAGGCTTGTTTCTTTTAGTGGGGGCTTGCTTTAGCTGAGGTTCCCTTAGCAGCAGGCTTTGCTTGACCCCGGAGCACTGGGCTCACCCCCTGCTGCAGGCTGGGCGCAGTGCTGAGGGTCTTGTCTCTCCCACACTGGCTGCAAGGCTGGAGGTCCCTGGGAGGGAGCAGCGGGGCGCTTCACGGGAGGCAAGCCTGACCAGGCACCTTCCTGGAGCCCTGATGGCCGTACAACTTGTACCCTGCTGCTCGCTCTGCTCCATCCCCAAGCTGTGGAGGGGCAGAGCCTGCGGCAGGGAGTGCCTGAGCATGTGTTACTAGCAAGGAAGCGAGCTGCAGTGGGACAAGGCTGCCTTCCCTGCCCTCGGGAAGGGGTGCAGCTTGTCCTGCCCCCAGGACCTGCTCTGCACCATCCAGCGCTGCCTGCTGCTGTTCTTCACCCTTCGCTCCGGCAGAGGACAGCAAGCCCAGTGCTTTGGTGGTACAGCACAGCCCTGGGCACGGCGTGGGGGGCCTGTTTGCACTTTTGTTAACAAAGCTCTGTATTCATGTGTCTGTCCCTGATCGTGACTAATTTGCACCTTGTTATCACTACAGTCCCCCACTTGCTGTTATTTATTCTCCAGGTTCTGTCCCCTTGCTCTGTAACTCTGTATATACTGTTATTGGGAATAATACATATATGTGTATATAGCTGCCACTGTTTGTGTGTCTGTGGGGTGACCAAGGGCTCCCCTGGGGTGGCCTTGCTGCTGGGGGGGGGGGGGGGGGGGAGGGTCAGGCATGGCTTTAAGCCAGGGCTGGCTCCAGAGGGGCCAGGGGGAGCTGGGAATGTCCTTTGTACTCAACATGAAGCACCACCACAGCCATTATGGAAAAGTAGATGTAATAAATGTGTAGAGTCCTTCCCCTGGTTGTCTTTAGCACTTGTGCAGCTGTAGCCCGGGCAGGCTCAGGCGCCAGCCCCTAGCTCCAGTGTGTTGGTTCAGTTCATTGTGGGCTAAACCCGGTCAGGTCCTGTACTGGGGGGCTGCCTGCCCCCCTCCAAGGGCAGAGTGGGGCTGGTCCTGGCAGCAGGCGCACGGGAGCAGAGCTTGCCTGTGTCTTCCTCACTGCAGGCAGCTGTGGTGGGGGGGGCTGCAGGGCCCTCATGACTCCAGCACACACACGTAGGTGGTCCAGGGCCCGCACACCACCTCCTCTGCCTGCAGCCCCTCGGCCACCAGGTACTCGACGCGGCGTGGCTGGTCAGAGCTGGCATTGTCCTCGTGTCCCAGCTGCCCGTATTTACCTGCAGACACAACAGTTGTGCCACAATGTGGCCCTGGGGCCTCTGCCCTCACAGGGCCATGGCCCTCCAGGCATTTGGGGGGAGGGAGGAAATGTGAGAGCACCCCTATATGAACAGCTCCAGCCAGGAACCCGTGGAAGTGCTCTGCTATGAAACCTCACAGTGATAAAATAAATCATTATACAAGTAACAGCAGCCAATGGTAAGGGAGCAGAAAACAAAAGCTGGTCCTGGGGGGTGTTGTACCATCCCAGAGCAAAGGACTCACTTACCCCAGCCCCAGGTGTAGAGCTCGCCGCCTCCTGCAAAGGGGACAGCACCCATCAGCCAGCACCCGCACTGCAGCACAGGGGGCTGCCGGCCTCTGGCCTCTGCCCCACCAGGTCCCGGTGAGCCCCGGCCCCTGTCAGCCGCCCCTGCCCCGCTCCCGGGCAGCACCGAAAGCAGGGGTGCTGCCCGCCGCCCCGCCGGCGAGAGCCAGGTACTCACGTGTGACAATGGCCGTGTGCCGAGACCCGCAGCTGACCTTGCTGACTTCCAGATCCTGGGGCAGATCCAGCAACGCCGGGAACGCTTGGATGGAAATGAATGCGGAGTCCTCGGCAGCCGGCTGCTCCTGGTGGGGTGTCAGCTCAGTGTCCCCTGGGGAAGAGCCGACCCTCAGCTCCCGGGAGTGACCAGGCCCTGCCAGGCTCGAACCGCACTGGCCCCGCACTGAGCTGCTGGCATTGCCTGCGGCTGTGTGGGGACCCAGCACCACCCACTGCCCCGGCCAGCAGCACCCTCACCTGCACCCGTGTCCTCATCCTGTGCCCGCTCTTCTGCCAGCGCTTTGGAGGGCAGGGCCAGCTGGCCCGACTCGTTCCAGCCCCACACATAGAGGTCTCCTGCCTCTGCAGGGGGTGGGAGCGCATCAAGGGTGGCCCTGGAGCAGAGCTCAGCCCTCAGCCCCCGTTGGCGGCAGCGGCTGGGTGCTCCGGGGGCACCAGCACCGACCACACACGGCACAGCGCTGTGCGCTGGGCTCCCCCAGGACCAGGGGCGTGGGGTAACTGCGACGTGGGGGACTGGTCCTGTGGGGCCCGTGTGCTGCTGCTGGCCGCGCCCCCCACCCCCAGCATGGCCCCTCACCACTAACACTGGCCGAATGCCACCCGCCGGCCGCCACTGCCTGCATCGGCATGCCGGCCAACGCCTCCACCAGCCGCGGCTGCAGCTCTGACTCCAGGCTCCCGTGGCCGAGCTGCCCGTGCCTGCAGGGAGACACACACGGACAGACAGACAGACACCTCCCACACCCCACTGCCCTCCAGCCCTCGCGCCTCCCTGTCCCACTGTGAGCCTGTGGTCCTGACCAAGTCCCTCCTGCCTGCTGCTGCCCGTGCTGCTGCCACTGACCCAGCTCCCCCCAGCCCCCGCACCGGGGCCGTGTCCCAAAGGCGAGGGATGCGGCAGGGGCACAGGGCCCAGCCAGGGGGGTGGAGGGGTGGGAAGAAGGGTGCCCCTGCACCCCGGTGCCAGGCCACGTGGGAGGCTGGCGGGGGCTCGGTGGCCCTGGTGCCCAGCAGGCCGGGTGGTCGGGTTGCAGCACGCAAGGCTGTAATTCAGTAGCAGCTGCACAATGCATGAGACAAGAGTCTGTCTTGTCGTGCAATCACTGTGCAACGGTGCAGCGAATGACACAACTCTGAAAATTAATGTGTTTACAAGTTAGTCCATTGATCTAATTGATTGCTGAGCTTATTTGGGCCCTGCTGAGCCAGCAATCAACAGCGCAGTGTCGGCATCAGTTTGGCCCCAAGCCTGAAAGTGAAAGCAGGGGATCCCCTGAGGGGACAAGTTTGGGCTCATCGGGGG